TGGGGGTTTTGGGGTCAGCTTATCAGGTGATTATCTTCAAAGCAGGACAGTGTGCTTGCAGAAACATCTGCTTAATCCCTATTTTAAGAATAACTATTGACTGGCCTTTTACTATCACTATGAGCAATTTTAAAGATTTAACTGATGGGACCCAGTGCTGGTGGTTTTAGCACAATCCTAGGAGGGAGGTGGGGAAGAATGATAGGCACGTCAAAGGATGGAGTCAGGGCTTAGCACTCAGCTCTTGGCTAGTAGAGAGAAGCCCACGGCAGGTTCCAGGCCCATTATCTTCCACTAACTTCCATTCACGAGCTCAATGACGCACTGCATCGGTCTGGCCTCAGCCCCGCATACATGGAGGGAGGCTCTGGACTTCAAGGTGCATTTGGCAGAGCTCTCATGTTGCATGGAGTTGCTTGAAGAGTCTCTGAGGGAAGAGGGCAGCTGAGCAAGGGGGATGCCTGTGGCCCCTTGGTTTTGCTTCAGTACAGTGGCTTTCATGGACTGCTTTGTTCAAAGGATGTCACATGTGGCTTAACAAAAGTTTGAGGACCAGTGACCCCTAGGGTCCCTTCTATTTCTAAAATTTGGAATGTTTGATTCCTTTTAAATAATCACACAAAGGGTCCTTGAAGCCCTGTTTCTAGTCATTCAGCTTTGTGGCTCAATCATGGATGCATTTTGGTAAGAGTGATTGAGAATTCTGTACCCCACCCCATCCTCAGCAGTCTTAAGATGGGCAGAGGGAAGATAGAACAACATCCACCCAATACTCCTTGCACCTCGGGCCCAGATTTAGCCAGGCCTCTCTGAGGGTGTGGTCCCCTCCCCGGGCCTGAGAATCACTCCACAAGGAACCTTTGTCTTTGAAGGGAGTGGTGATGCCTCCGGGAACACTGTGATTGTCTTTCCCATCATGTGGTCCAGCTGTCAGTCAAGATGGTGGTCATGTGACCCGTGCTGGCCAATCACAGCTCTCCTGAGGGAGGGCTGCAGGGATGAACTGATTCAGAGCTGGGTCACTCTGAGGACAGGTCCTTGACTCCTGCTACTTAGATTCCTGAGACTGCCCTGGTTTCCGTCTTTCCTGAGGTCTGGTTGTTTTTTTGTATTTTACAAATTACCCAGGTCTTTCTGAATCCTCCACCGTTTTCTGTTGCTGGAAAGATTCAGGCTTCCCTTTCCACCATTTCTCTTACAAAAGGCTTCACAGGCTTGTGAAATACTTCTGGGTATTTCAGAAGACCAGGCACCAGGATCTCCAAGGGGTCTGCCCACTTCCCCTGGGGTAGGAATGCCTCGATTTGCAGGAGTGCATCAGTCTGGGTCTGATTGCCCCGGGCTGGGTAGCGCACGCCTTCTGGAAGAAGAAACGCTACAGCTGAGTTTTCATTAGACCCTCCCTCACTGTCGTCCCTGGGTTGCAGGATGTGAGGACCCATCATTAAGGGCCCAGAATGGTAACCCCCTGAAGGCAGAGCTCTTTAAAGGTCAATGGCTAATTAATTAAACACATGAATGAGCTCAGAAGCCAAGTCCCATAGTTAGATTTCATATTCTTGTAGTTTGGACAGTTCAGTGTCCTGGATCTGGAAAAATGTTACCCTTTTTGTAATTTGGTTCATTCTTCTATTTCTGATTTAAAACAACCCAAAAAACTTCAGACCATGTGTAGATTTATTGAAGGGAGCGGTTTTCCCAGAAGCTCTAGCTTCTCCCAGTGGACAGCGGTGCTGGTGGCAGCAGGGGCCCGGTGCTAGGGCCAGGAATCAGGAGGAGTCTTGGAGAGAGTAGAGAGGAGAGCCCAGGGACCGGGGTGAGGAACGACTTTGGACACTGGTGTCCTTCCCCGTTCTGTCGAGGGCTCCTTACCTGGGGATTCACCCTGGAGCAGAAACCTGGAGGAGCACTGAGGAGGAACAAGATCTTCCACTGCCGAAAATTGCTCCCACAGAGCCGTGCCATGCAGTATGGCAGCCACCAGCCGCACGTGGCTGTGGAGCACCTGCAATGTGGGGAGTTCGAATTGGGATGTGTTATGAGTGTAAAATACACAACAGTTTCAAAAACCTGATCTGAAAACAAGAATGGAAAATATCTCACCACGAACTTATTGATTACATGATGACATGATAATATTTTGGGTATACTGGGTAAAATAAAATATATTATTAAAATTAATTTCACCTGTTTCTTTTTATTTTATTTAATGTGGCTACTTCTAGAAAGTTTAAAATTGGCCAGGCACGGTGGCTCATGCCTGTAATCCCAGCACTTTGGGAGGCCGAGGTGGTTGGATCACCTGAGGTCAGGAGTTCAAGACCAGTCTGGCCAACATGGTGAGACACGATTTCTGCTAAAAATACAAAAATTAGCTAGCGTGGTGGTGCACGCCTGTAGTCCCAGCTACTTGGGAGGCTGAGATAGGAGGAAACGCAAAAGGAAATGTTTTGTTTGTTTTGTTAGTTCATGTCTTTTATCAACTCATACAGTTCCTTGTCTTCTGCTTTGTTGAAGCAATAAGTCAGACAACATTTGCTACAATAATGTCTGTCAAAGTGGCTTGCCATAAACCCTCCAGCACCACATTCATCAGAAGGGCACTCTTGATGAAGGTGACTAATTTTGCCATTCTCATCCACCTTAATACTTATATTATAATAATTAATAATAGTATTTCAGGACAGCCAGCTTAGTCTTCTTTCTCTTGTGCTTATTCTTCTTGGGGTGGTGTTAAGACTTCTTCCTTTTCTTAGCACCACCATGAAGTGTCAACGCAAGATGAAGAGTAGACTCCTTTTGAATGTGTAGTCAGACAAAGTACATCCATCCTTCAGTTGCTTTTGCTAGCAAAGATCAGTCTTTGCCCATCAGGAGGAATTCCTTCCTTATCCTGGATCTTGGCCTTTACATTTTTGTCGTATCTGAGGGTTCAACCTCGAGGGTGATGGTCTTCCCTGTAAGGGTTTTCGTGAAAATCTGCATTTTGGTGGCGGCTTCACTACAGATGGCTGATTGAAAAGGAAGGAAATGTTTTAAGATATATTCCTAAGGGTTGCACATTAACTAATTTGATCTTATACAACTCTCAAGTTCTGCAAGATAAAATCTTCAGTTCTCTTGGATAGATAAAAAAGCTTGAGAAGTTTGAGCTGGATGAGGGTTGGCCACTCCCCTACCATCTTGCTAATGCTTCAGACCAAATTCACACAGAGAGAGATTTGTTAAATATTAACATTTATTGTGATGCAGGCCCCCAGGGTCCATACAACCTTCTGTGTAGGCTCCATGAAGTCTCAGCTCTGGTGTCTTAGGTGCTAAGAGAACACTTTGCATGGAAAGCTCATTCAAGGCAGAGGCTACAATAGAGTCAGAATTTCAGGATCCTTCTTGTCAGCATCAGACAATCAGAAATCTTGCTGCACCAGTGGTCTTTCACAAGAGCAACTGAGGAACCAAGTGCCTTTTATATTTATTTATTTATTTATCTATTTCAAGATAGAGTTTTACTCTTGTTGCCCAGACTGGAGTGCAATGGCGTGATCTTGGCCCGCTGCAACCTCTGCCTCCCAGGTTCAAGCGATTCTCCTGCCCCAGCCTCCTGAGTAGCTGGTGTTACAGGCATGTGCCACCACGCCTGGCTAATTTTGTATTTTTAGTAGAGATAGAGTTTCTCCATGTTGGTCAGGCTGGTCTCGAACTCCTGACCTCCGGTGATCCACCTGCCTCAGCCTCCCAAAGTGCTGGGATTACAGGCGTAAACCACTGCGCCTGGCCCCAAGTGCCTTTCTTAAGAGAACAGTCTCAAGGCCTTGCCAGAACTGAAACCTTAGTAGCACAAGGGTGGGGAGTGTCTCTACATCTCATGGCCAGTCCACATATCGTGACTGTCATAACTCTGTTCATGCGAGCGTGGACAGTGTCTCTTACATATTTTAGCCAAACCACATATCCCCCTTGATTAATGAGATCCCATTGCTAATATTCATTATTTTATTAGCAAGTCACTAATAAGTCAGTAAAAATCCATTTCCCAAGGCCTCAGGTGTTGGCAGGTGTGCATGGCAGAGGTATCTTGGGAGAGTGGGGAATCCTGACGAATCCAAGTAATGCTCACCTGTAATATCACACTGAAGATGCCAAAGTATATAAGTCATTTCTGGACATCGTAGCACAATCTTATTAAGAGCATTAAGAATTCTTTCATACCTATTTGGTATATTCAAACTAGATCAATGAGGTAAGAGCCAGTGAATTATCAGAAAGTTTCCTGAGAAAATTCAACCTTTTGTGATCAGTGTAGTTTCCAACCTTAGAGGAAAAAATGCTATTCACAAAACAGTCATTCTAAAAAACGCGTTTTTGTATTAAAGATGCATCTTCTCAGGGTAAATGTTAACAGTCCTTGGGAGAAAACTACTAGAATACAGATTTCAGGATTTAAGGGAAAACTCTTTCTTTCAGTCTTAGAAACCCAACTCACTGGTGATGACATATAGAACAAATACAGAGGTTACTTAAATATTAACTTTATTTGGTATGTAAATATACCTAGTGCTCCGATCTTTCTAGATCAAGGTTACTTAACCCTGGCCGTATTGACCCTTTAGGCAGGGGAATTCCTTGTGTGCAGGGTTGTGGGGGGGATGCTGTCCTGTGTATTGTAGGGTATTTAGCAGCATCCCTGGCCTCTACCCACTAGTTGCCAATAGAAGGACCCTACCACTAAAGTGGTGACAACTAAAAATGTCTCTAGACACTGCCAAATGTCCCCCTGGGGACAAAATCACCCTCTGTTGAGAACTGCTGTTCTAGAACAGGTCCAATGGGCTAAGCCATTGCCTTGCTAGAATGCATAATTTCAGATCCCTCCCAGACCTACTGAATCAGAGTCTGCATTTCAGTAAGCTCCCAGGTGGTCTGTGTGCTCATATACCCGGCTAGCTTTACCCCTACGCTCCATGGTGCCTGTGGCCAGGGATATGTGGCTCTCATTGCAGGAAGCTGATGAAGCCTTGCTGCATAACCTGCGCCTTCAGCTGGAAGCCCAATTTTTGCAAGACGATATCAGTGCGGCGAAGGACAGGCACAAGAAGGTAACCATGACCCCTTGAAGCCCTTCCTCTAGAAAACCCAGTTTGGGTTTGATCAGGTAAGCCCAGGGCACTGTGGTTGAAAACAGACTGCTAGAGAGTGGTATACCTTTGTGCATTTTCCCTCGAACCAAATAGGGGTGAATTGGCCACTGGACAGTGCTTAATGAGCCAGACCTGCTTTGAAGAGTGGGCAGTAGTGGGTGTGGTTTGAGGGCCGTGGTGTTGTGAACCAGTATCTGTATTTACAGTATAATTTACAAAGTGATTTTATATAGATTCGTCTTCATTAAGCGACAGTCCAACAACTGTTTCTGCTCAGAAGATACATTAAAAAGCCTTGTTTCGGCCAGGCGCGGTGGCTCACGCCTGTAATCCCAGCACTTTGGGAGGCCTAGGCGGGCAGATCACAAGGTCAGGAGCTCGAGACCACGGTGAAACCCCATCTCTACTAAAAATACAAAAAAATTAGCCGGGCACGGTGGCAGGCGCCTGTAGTCTCAGCTACTCAGGAGGCTGAGGCAGGAGAATGATGTGAACCTGGGAGGTGGAGCTTGCAGTAAGCTGAGATCACGCCACTGCACTCCAGCCTGGGGCACAGAGGGAGACTCCGTCTCAAAAAAAAAAAAAAAAAAAAAAAAAAAAAAAGACTTGTTTTTCTCTCTGCCTCTGAACCCGTTAATTGCAGGAGCACATTATTCAGGAGCTTCCTCTCCTGCAGTGCTCAGATTCCCCCAGCTTCCAACAGTTCCTCACAAGCCTGACTGTGGCGGGCCCTGGCATAATTGAAAGATCAGATCTTGCAGCTGTTTGACCATGGGTGAGTGGCCTAACCTCTCTGAGCTGCTTTTTCATCTTCAAAATGCAAATGCAGGCTCTCCTTCCCAGCAGTGGTGTGGGTGAAGTAGTGTAGCAGACCTGTGGGTGCCTCAGGGCTTCCCTCTTCAGGGACTCTGGCCTCCTCCCACTGCCATCCCTGCAGCTTTGCCTAAGGACTTTCTCCAAGCAGCTGGAGGCTGCTCCACCTGTAGTGGGGTGTTGAGGAACTCCTGTCCCCGGGAGCAGGGAGCAGCCTCAACCGGAACTGATGGGAGTTGGTGTATAAACACCCCAACTCCCTCTCGCCTTTGTAGACCAACTCTGAGGCTTTTGTTCTGCACTGGCACCCAGAGAGCCTCACCAGGATTGAGCTCCAGGTGCTCACAGTGGTGACTCATTGGTAATAGCCCTCGCTGACCGCCCTCCCTTCCTGCCTCACTTTCTCTCTCCATCCATCATGTTTCCTGTCATCATTGCCCAGTCAACTGTTTATACTTAGATCCCTCTCCCAGAGTCTGCTTCTGTGGAAACCCAAACTAAGACAATGTGGGAACATGGGTACAACCTGGAGCTTGGCAAGTGCTCAGTGAACCTCCAGTTCCCTTCCTACCTCAGTGTGTACTGCATCAGTACACCAGCCCTGTCTGCTCCAATCAGGGTCCCTCCAACTTTCCATTAGGCCCAGCCATTTCCTCCTCCCCACTCACCTCCTTGCTTCTGCTCTACTTGATGGAATCCTGGGAACAGTGCCTGGGGCAGTTTTGAAGCAGCTCAAAGAATTCTTCCAGGCCATTTAGGATGATATTGATGATGATGATGGTGATGATGATAGCTCACACTGTGAGGCTCCCCTGCAGTATCTCACCGGATCCCAAGAGCAGCCTTGTGAAATAGTGCTCAGGTCAGGCTCCCTATAAGCAGAGCTCTAAGTAGTGATTTTTTTGTCACTGATGTCTTAGTGGAGGGCTCTGAGGAGAAGGGGAGGAAAGGGGCAAGACAGGGCAGGGAACAGAGCAAGGATGTGTCCTCAACTGGAGTCTAGCTGTGGCGTTCTCATGATCCCATGGGAAGCTCTGTGAATTACACCACAGCCGGGTCCCTCAAGGAGTCAAGAGAGTTGGTCTTTTGTACTCCCGTGCCATCAGTCATTGGCCTGGGTTGGGGATGAGGCAGGGCCTGGTGGCTTCCTAGACAAGATGACCATTTGTTGACCAAGGGCTGCTTTCTGCAGAGGGCTGTGTCATCTGTTGTTACTCACAGAGCTTGGGATAGGGGCACTGGCTGGTAAAGGGGGTGAGGCATCCCTACATATAGTTATCCCTGTTTTATAGAAGAACTTGCATTTTAGGAGGTTTAAATAGCTTGCCTGAGGTCACACATAGCCAGTAAGTCTTTTAGTCCAGGCCTGATTGACCAAAGCCCATTCTTTGAAACACTGCTGGTGTTGGAAAGGGTCCTTTGTGCCCTCCAGGGCCTTTTAACTTACTTATTTTTGACATGGGGTCTCATTCTATCACTCAGGCTGGAGTACAGTGGGGTGACCACAGCTTGCTGCAGCCTCCACCCACCCCCAGGTTCAAGTGATCCTCCTACCTCAGCCTCCTAAGTAGCTGGGACCACAGGTGCACACCACAACACATAGCTAATTTTAAAATTTTTTGTAGAAATGAGGTCCTACTATGTTGCCCAGGCTGGTCTCCAACTCCTGGGCTCAAGCAATCCACTGGCCTTGGCCTCCCAAAGTGCTGGGATTACAGGTGTGAGCCACCATGTCTGGTGAGGGCTGGTTTTTTCCTCTGTTTTTTGTGCCTCTGCCACCCAGGGCTTTGTGAAGACCAATGCACCAATGTAGCTGAAGAGAAATGGTGACATAAAGCAAGCCTTAGTTTATTCATCTGCCCCATTGTTCTTGTGAAGTTTAAAGGAGACTGAGGGGCCAGGAATGAGCATGGTGCACATGTGGGCAGGCCCACCGACGGCAGCAGATGCATCAGTCTCTTCTTCCTCCTGAACCTGGTCATGGTCTGTCCCGTATGTGATGATGCAGCATATGGAAGTGTCCATTCCTGTGCTCATCTAGTACTAGAAGGAAAAACCAGCACAGCTCAATTTCTAACGAGAATGCTTTCTCTCCCCTAACAGAATCTTCTGGAAGTTCAGACCTATATCAGCATCCTGCAGCAGATCATCCACACCACTCCTCCAGCATCCATTGTGACGAGTGGGATGAGGGAGGTAAGAATTGGAGCAGGAAAAGGCAAACCAGCCCTGGCGGGAAGCTGTATCTGCAGACTCCCAGGGAAGGGCTCACAGGTTGGACTGTGAGGGCGGCCACCAGGGTCCACTCCCCACTCCTGCCTTGTATCCTCATCTGAAGTTTGTTCTTCTGATATTTTTCTTGTACTGTAAATGCCAGTATTTAGACACATAAGGATGTAAACCGCGTCCTTGACCATTTTCTTCGGTATTTTCTCTTGAGAATTACGAGCTGTTCTTCCTTGCATACTTTATAAGAAATGACCAAGCTGCTTTCCAAAGCGATGTGCCATTGTGGCATCTCCACCCACAATGCGTGAGGGTTTCTGTGGCTCCCTGTCCTTGTCAGCACTTGGTATGTCAGCTTTTTAGTGTGTCTTTGCTCTTCTAATGGTGGTGGTTTTAATTTGCATCCCCTAATGACTAAGGAAGCTGAGCATCCTTTTGTGCACTTATCTGCCATCCAGATAGCTTCTTTGTGGAAGTATCTGCTGAAGCCTCTTGCCCATTTAAAAAATTGGTTTGTTTCCTTATTCTCCCTATCAATCTGTTCATGAATTTAAAATACAGAGAATCTCAGATAATTAGTGAATATATTTTCAAGACAGAGCTCTGCTAATGATTATGTGAGCCTGTGGCATGGAAACTAGTGGGAAAGGATAGAGATTGTTGAAGCCAATTTGTAAAAACTAAAGATTTGGATATGAAAAATTATTTCCAATATTATGTTCCAAATTCCTTCTTCATTTAGCTCTTTAGCTGCTCAACAGGATAGTAGGTTTTTTTCCTAATATGGTTTATGGAATTTTGTGATGCATAGCATGATATATATATAAATAGACTGGTGCCGAGTGAGGTGGCTCGTGCCTGTAATCCCAACTACGCAGGAGGCTGAGGTGGGAGGATCACCTGAAGCTAGGAGTTCAAGAGCAGCCTGGACAACATAGCAAGACCCCATCTCCAAACAAACAAACAAACAAGAAACAAAAAAACCCCAAAACACTGGAAATGATGCAAATTAAAATAAAAATGTTACAGTGTCCCTTCTCCAGAGGTTGTGGTAGGCTAGTACAGGGTTTGGTGGATTGGGCAAGAGATAAGGTTCTGGGTCTTTTTGCAAGGATGATCTAGGATGGTGGCTCTCAACCCTGGTGACACTTGCAATTGCCTAGATGTGTGCTCAGGCCATGCTCCGAGTCAATGAATGGGCTGCTCAGGAGGTGGGGCCTGCCCAGGAGCAGCATGCAGACAAGCTGCTGCAGAACCCATGGGCTGGGGTCACCAGCTACCTGAACTTTTTCATCTTAATTATTTTATACAAAGCTAAAGAAATCCCCAAATTTGCTTTAGAAGACACTTTTGAACCCTGCAAAGTATCATCTAAGAGACAGGAAAGTTACCTTTTCTGGCATTCATGAGGATAGTCTTGTCTGAATTGCCCACCAATTACCGTTTCAGGATCCTGTTGTCCTTAGTGGATGTAACCGAAGTTGCTACTAAGGCCTAAAAAAGCTTTTCCGGAAGTCTTAATTTTCTTTGCCAGAGATCCCTTTCCAGAGATGTTATTTTTATTTTTTCAAACCCACTTTTGTCCTCTAACTCAAAGGTGTTTTACATCCGAGCATACCTTTTGAATTGTGTCGTCTATTCCCTTGTAATAAGATCCTTCTAAGTCGTAAGTACACAGACACTGGACTGACTTTGATGTCATCGATCAGCATCACCTGGGCTTGTGAGATGTGCAGAGTGTCCAGCCCAGCCTCATACCCACTGAGACAGAATCTGCATCTTAGTCAGATCTTCAGGGACTCGTGGGCATACTCAGGCTAGAGAAGCACCAATTGAGAAAGCATCACATCTTTATGAGTCTTAGTTTAGCAATTCTATAGTCAAATTAGACAGTCACTTTCCTGTATGTCTGTGTCACTGCTGCAGCCACTTTGTAAGGTGTTTGAAGCAGAGGCTGCCTGCCATGCATGGGCTTGGACACAGAAACCCTCAGCGTAGACTTGGTGTTTGATTTTGCGTGGCTTCGAGTCAATGTGCTCTGTGTCAGAATGCATGGCTCTTGAGCAGTCAGGCCTTTGTGAAACAATTTGAATATTTTTGAATAAACATGGAAAGGCAGGTCAGGAGAGAGGCACCTGCTTGGCAGAGTGTGGAGAGGTTGGAGGATTTCCTTCCAGCCATTCCCTGGAGCGTCGCTTCTCTTTCACCCATTGGGGCTGATGGCTCCTGCTTTGTGCTGCGCTGACATCGGAGCACAGCGTGTGGCTCGCGGCTCCAACCAACCTTCATTTTCTTAGAGAGTGTGCATTCCAGGTTTTCCTTTTCACAGAAGGGAAAACAGAGGCTTTGAGAGTCAAATGCCTTTTCTAGAGTCTCTTAGTAGGTTCACGGCACAGCCAGGTCTAAGCTCTGGTCTCCTGGTACTTGGTCCCGGCGTTTCACACTCCCAAGGAGGTTCAGACTTTGAAGACAAAGCAAAAGCCATTGACGGCTGCGCTGTGGGCCTGGCTTAGTCTCCTCACGCTACTATAACAGGACACTATAGACGGGAGGGCCGACAAGCAGACATTTATTTCTCACTGTCCTGGGTGCTGGAAATCCAAGATCAAGGTGCCAGCAGAATTGGTGTCTGGAGAGGGCTCTCTTTCTGGCTTGAAGATGGCTGCCTTCTTGCTTTGTCTCATGTGACAGACAGACAGGGGGCGGGGGTGGGGGCTCTGGTGTCTCTTCTTGTTCTTACAAAGACCCTAATCACATCATGGGGCCCCCCATCCTCATGACCTCATCTAACCCTAACACCTTCCAAAGGTCCCACCTCCTGAAACCTTCATCTTGGGAGTTAGGACTTCAACACAGAATTCAGGGGGACACGGATATTCCATCCATACCAGGGCCCCACACCTCCTCTGCCCTTTTCCTCTCTGCATGTCCTGTGAATCTGACTCTGGCCTTCTCTGTGCAGGAGAAGCTCCTGACGGAGCGGGAGGTGGCCGCTCTGCGGAGTCAGCTGGAGGAGGGCCGCGAGGTGCTCGCCCACCTGCAGGCGCAGAGAGTGGAGCTGCAGGCCCAGGTACGCTTGAGTCTGCCGCATGCGCATTGGGGCTTCCCACATGTTTTATGGAGGCGTTACACGCAGCACATGCATGCAGCTTGAGGAGCTGTCACATGCTGAACATATCGTATGTTCCTGGCAGAAACGGGGTTTTCGGAGTGGGTGACCAAGCGCTCTGCTCTGCCCTGGACTGAGGAATTTTCCAGGACAAGGGAGAGTCCTGAGCCAGTGAACACAGGCGTCACGCTCATTCCTGGTCCCTCAGAGGTGCCCCTTGGGACTCCTTTAAGTCATGCCCTCCCCTCCGAGGCTTAGGCTTAGGCTGCCCCAGTGTCTACATCATGCATTCATTTTGCCCAGGTCAAACTTTGTAAGAATAAGAAGAAATGGACACAGTAGAGATTTTTATCCTCCACTTGTTCAAATCTGTGCTTCTGTTTTTCTTCTTGTGGTAACAGTTCTCCTTCGGAATTTGATTACAACCTGGAAAGAGTGATTGTATCAGTGTTTGCTTCTAGTTAGAAACGTTTTGGTGGAAAGCTCACATTTTTACCCCCACCCCTTTTGGGTGAAGCTTAATTTGAAAACAAAACAGAAAAGCCCCACGCTGTCCTGTGGCCTGTGTCTTCTTGGCTACTTCCTGGCTCATCTTCCTTGGTTCCTTCCAGTTCTCTCTCTTTCTCATTACCCTCCAGCAGGGCATTCCGTGGGGACGGCTGGGTTAAAATACTGCACCTTTGTATGGCTCCCTAACCACGTTTCCCAAACCAAAAAGTAAGTTGACATTTGGTTTAACAAGTACACGTGGGGACAAGAGAGCAAAACATGTAAACATCGGATGCTTCAGAGAGCGCGGACCATTTGGACGTTATGTGTTACTCTGTCTCTGCCCTGCCAGGGCCCACAAAATGGGAAAAAATGTGAAGCCACAACTAGACGTTGTGCTTTTTATTGATTTCCAGTGTCCCCATGTCTGCTCAGGATTTCATTTTGGGACCTTGGAGTTCACCTCCTAATTCCCATCCCAGCACGCACCACACAAAACTCACAGTGCAGCAGCTCCTAGGGGCTACTGGAAAGCAAACCCAGGTCTGTGGTGGTCCCCTGAGCTGACGATCGCAGCAGGAGAAACCAAGTAAGGCCCTTAAAACTCTTCCTTCTTGTGAGAGAAACCCTGGCTCAGGGACCATGTGCGTCATCCTGGTGACTGGGGCGTGTGTGGTTTCTTCTGAGGCTCTGACAGGATAAAATAAGGGTTGTATGTGTTTGTGTATGTGGGGTGTGTGTGTGATATGTGTGGTATGTGTGATATATGTGGGATGCATATGTGAAGTGTGTGGTGTGTGTGTCGTGTGTGTGTGTGTGTGTGCTGTGTATGTGAATAGGGATATGGATACAAGCGCAGTCATGGTCCTAGAGACCAGTGTTTTCCAAACGACTAGTGACAACTCATTTTTGGATGTAAAACGAATTCAGTAGAATTGATTGGCATGTAAAAGGAAGTCAACAAAATGCTAGACTAAAATATAATAAGAAAAACAGAGTGTACAGCAAGCCAAAGGGAGGATTTGTTTTGTGAAGCCCTCGTTTTATCTCTACATCCATATGGATATGTTGAAATACACACACACACATCTATCTGATGTGTATGGCTTGCAATGAGAAATGTGGTTTTTCCTGGGGCGGTGGTGTTAAAGTTGAAAACCACTGCCCTAGAGATACTGAGAAAGATGAAGGACCTCAGCCCAGATGGCACATTCCAGTTCCAGGACAAAAAGAATTTTCCTCTATGTACATGTACGTATTTGTTGAATATCAAAATAAGAAATTTTACAACAGATTAACCTGGTTTCTGAGAACATGAAATGAAACTGCTGGTTGGCCACCTGTTTCTGTCCTTAGTGGCTGCAGGAGGGCTTCCTGGCTTTTCTCTGCTGCCCTCGTCTCTAAAGTAGGGTCTCAAGTGTCTCTTCTGTGCTGGCTCCTCCACTGCCACCCTTGGCAGTCTGATGGAGACCTCTTCTCAGAAAAATGATGGTAAAGGCATCAAATAAAGTACAGATAATTTAAAGGAACCCAGGCTGGGCGTGGTGGCTCATGCCTGTAATGCCAGCACTTCGGGAAGGCCAAGGTGAGTGGATTGATTGAGTCCAGGAATTTGAGACCAGCCTGGGCCACACGATGAAACCCCATCTCTACAAAAAATACAAAAAATTAGCTGGGCGTGGTGGTGCATGCCTGTGGTTCCAGCTACTGACGAGGCTGAGGTGGGAGAATTGCCTGAGCCTGGGGAGGTTGACGCTGCAGTGAGCTGACATTGAGCCACTGCACTCCAGCCTGGGTAACAGAGTGAGACTCCGTCTCAAAAAAAAAAAAAAAAAAAAGAAAAGAAACTAACTATATTAAAACAGTTATCAAAATATTACTGAATCATTTTATATAAAATGACAGATGTGCTTATGCTCAGTAACAAGCTGTAGCATAGGGCTGATGAAACAAGACTGTGTCCGTTTTCTGTTGCTGTCTTGATGAGTCACGACTAACAGGAGCTTGGAACAGCACCTGTGTCATCGCAGTTGTGTAGGTGGGAAGTCTGGGCGGGTCCTATCGGTTTTTCTGCTCTGGGTCTCATAAGGTAGAAAGAAGGATGTTGGCCAGCCTGGGCCCTTGTCCGGAGGCTCTTGGGGGAGAATTTGCTTCCAGTCTCATTCAAGTTCTTGGCAGGAGTGAGGACCCTCCTTCTTTTCTGGCTGCTGGCCAGGAGTGGGTGTCAGGGCTGCCCATGCTCTTTGGCTTCAGGCCCCTCCATGTTCGAAGCCGGCAGCGAGCTCTGAACCCTCTTCCTGCGTCTCATCTAATTGAGTTGGACTTATGCGTTTCTCTGACTTCTGTTTTTAGGGCTCCTGTGATTGGGGATAATTTTGAATAAACTCCTTTCCTTAAAAAAGGGTAACTGATTAAGAACCTTAATTATATCTGCAAAGTCCCTTTTTGCCATGTAACATATCCAAGGGTGTAGCACCAAGGGGAAACGGTCATGGGGGCCAAAATTCTGCCTCCTTAGCTCTGATGAAAACCCAGACGTGGCTGGGCGCGCCCGGGAGCTCCTGACTCAGTGGGTCTGGGGAGTTGCCCGGGACGCTGCATGTTCAAGTGTTCGGGGATGGTGCTGCTGCCGGTCCAGGAGCCACACTGAGAACCACAGGGTAGGGGCGGGTTCCAGGGAGGGGGCGAATGTTCCACCCCGTCCCCCTGTGTCCCAGGCTTGGGCCTCATTTCCAATGTTTGTGGCTGGGTTTTTGCTGGTTTTAAAGGTTTTAGTGGCTTCCTAATGTAGCAGCTAAGCTAGAGCTGAAGGAAGATGTTGACCGCACACCTCTGGGCAGGGCCCGCACTGTGGCCGGAACTCGGTGGAGGGCGGGCCGAGGGAGAGCATCTGGTAGCTCCAGGGCCTGGCAGCGGGTTCCGCCTATGGTTAGGGCATTCGAAGCTTCCCGAACTCTCCACAGCAGGGGTCCTCAGGGTGAGGTCCCCGTCCCAGCAGCGGCGGCACCACCTGGGAACTTGTCAGAAATGCAAATTCACAGGCACCCCAGACCATTGACCCAGGAGCTCTGGGGCGGGCCGGTGCGCCTTGTTTTCACAAGCCCTCCGCTTGGCTCTGCGGGCTCGGTCTGGGAGAGGCTGGGCGGAGGATGGGAGAACGGTGCCTGGGCTTGGAGCTGGAAGCCTCTCCTTCAAATAAGTGCACATATACCCCTAAGAGCCCTGGAGGAAGCACTTCGGACAGGTGGAGAGGAAAGGACAGGTAATTCTAGTTCCCTAAATTGCGTGGACTGGGAATTTCTGTGACAGGGAAGTAAAGTCACTTTAAAATTGCAAAGTGGGAGCCGCCCAGGTCTCATTTCTCATTAAAGTCACTTAGCACCATCTAGTGGTTTAGTTTGTGTAAGACAGTGTGTAACGCGTTTCCTTTAAAAAAAAAAAAAAAGACCTTGCACCCAAAGTTTTCTGGGGTCCCAAGGACTGAGGTGGGAGCTCGCCCCTCCAGATGGGGCTCGCGTCAGGCTCCTGCCTGTGTCCTGCCCTCAGCAGCTCACAGCCCAGTGGGGAGACAGATATAAACCAGGCAATCTAACGGTCCAGGCAGAAATAGCAGTCACCTGGCTCCAGATAAAGTTCAAGTTGCCACATGGCTCCACCCTTGGAGGAACCGTGGGTCAACCTCTCTTCTCTTCGTCTCCTGACCCCCCCCTGCAGTTTCTGGGACCTGCCCCTTTGCTCATTCCTTCTCTCCTTTCTGGAAGTCCCTTTCCTTCCTCGGTTCCCAGGACCGGTCCTGCCTCCTCCTGGAAGCCTCTTTCTCCCTCCGAGATGCCCTGGGCGTCCCTCCCCTGCTGGCCTGCGGCCTTCTAGAGGAGGGTCCGTGTCTCACTCTCCTTGACCAGGTTGGTGCTGGGTGGCAGTGGATGCCGTGCCACGGTGGCTGTCGTCACAGGCATCTCCATTCCTGTTGAGCTTCTGAGAGGGGCTCTTACTGGTTTTCCTGAACCCCTTTCCTTCTGATGAAAGGTTTAAATTATGGAGCTATAAAAACCACATTGATATAGACAGCAGTCCAGTTTTATAAACCAAGTCATCACTTCACTGGACTCAGCAGAATCCCTTAGAGCATCTGCGACCAGTGCAGGGTTGGAGGGCTCTGGGCCTCATGGTCACGTGGGAGATGGTGGCTGTGGGGGTGCCTAGGGCAGGAGCTCCTCCCACAGTGCTGCAGCAGAGAATCTCCAGCCTTTAAAACATGCAGCCTTCTTCAAACAAACACGAATGCACACCCAAGAAAACACCTCACCCATCCGCCCCCTACCACTACCCCAAAAATAACAGTCACCACTTCATGATATAAAAAGATTGCACTCCACTTGTAGGGTAAAAAGATCATAGGTGACTTTCCTGGTCTCTCATTTCCCAGTTTGTGATGCTTTGTGATTCTATTTGCAGTTCAAAACTTTGCTAAGTGAAAACCTGCAAGGAGAGGTCTCTGCATGGCTCACACTGACTTTCCCATGTCTTCAGAGAGAACAGGCTGGGGCTGGCCTGTTGCTGTGTGGGAATGGGGAGTTTGCAGAGGCCCTGGAGTGTGGGTGTGTGTGCATATGTGTGCGTGTGTGTGCATATGTGTGCGTGTGTGTGTGTTTGCACATTGCTTGACCACAGCAGGGAGGAGGCTGAGGTGCGGGGTAGGGGTGGCCTGTTTCTGGGAGGTGTTTCAGACGTTGTACAGGTAGATTCGAATCCTGCTGTGGTATTTATGGGCAAGTCACTTTGCCAGTGTGCCTCAGCTTCCTCATCTGTAAAGTAGAAATATTGACAGCCCCTCCCTGATAAGGTTGTTGTGAGGTTGATGAGTTGGCCCAGCTTAGGACTTACCAGCACCAGCCACTACCCCGGCTCTGGGCTGGGGAACCCACCCCCAAAGGGGACGGCCGCCCCAGAGCTCCTGGGTCAGTGGTCTGGGGTACATTCTCTTCATATGTAATTTTTTCTTTTACTCTTTATTATGGAAGATTTCAAACATCGAAAAGTGACAGATTATAGGTGCTATGGCTCACACCTGTAATCCCAGTACTTTGGGAGGCCAAGGTGGGAGGATCACTTCAGCCCAGAAGTTCAAGACCAGCCTAGGCAACATAGTTAGACCTTGTCTCTACAATTTTTTTTTTTTTTTTAATTAGCTGGGCATGGTGGCATTCACCTGTGGTCTCAGCTGCTAAGGAGACAGAGGTGTGGGAATCGCTTGAGCCCAGGATATCGAGGCTTCAGTGAGCCCTGATGGCAGCACTGTACTCCAGCCTGGGCAATAGAGTGAGACCCTGTCTCCAAAAATAAAAGTGAGAATAGTCCGTCTCATGAGCCCTCCTGCCCCATCCCCTAACACATGGCCCCTCTATGTTCTCTACAGTCCCTCACACTTCCCTCACCATGTAATTCCAATGCTTCTTTAAGTTTTGGGCCTCAAAGGGGTCTTTTAAATCCCCATATTCCTTCGAGGTGTTTCCTAGAGTGTGTAAACACTCTGGTATGGGTGAGATGTGGCTGCACCAGACGTTAGTGTGTGTGACTTGAATTTGCTATTACACGTGACTGTTTGAATCCAGATTTCTTGGGAGGAACAGAAACTGGATCACACTAGCTGAAACAGGAAGGGGACTCTTGTTTTATTCAGAAGTAATTTTAGATTTTTGAGAAGTTGCAAAAACAGCACAGTAGTTTCCAATATATACCCCTCATCCAGCTTCCTCAAAACCACGGGCCGATGATAAAAACCTGGAAATTAACAATGATCCTGTCCTATTAATAGACTGCACTTAAATCTCACCAGTTGTTCCACTCGTGTTTTTTCCTGGTCTAGATCCTACTTACATTTAGGTGTCATGTCTTGTTTGTCTCCCCCAGACTGGGATGGTCCCCAGTCTTTCTCTGTCTTTCATAACCGTGATGCTTTGGAAGAACCCAGGCCAGTGGCTTTGTGGCACGTCCCTCCTTTTGGGTTTCCCTGATGTTTTCTCAGGATTAGATGGAGGTTCTGCATTCTTGGCAAGACCCCCATGGAGTGACGCTGTGTCCTGAGTATTTCATCCTGTGGATGGTCCTCATACCAACGTGATCTCTTGGTTAAGGTGCTGTCTGCCAGGTTTCTGCACTGGAAAGGTACTTTTTTTTTCTCGAAGGAGCAGGGTATAAAAGGCAGGGCATGAAATCTGAGAGGAGGTGTGCATCAGGAATTAGGAACCAGGAACTGGGAGCTGAGGCTGCTGCTATCTGTCTCCTTTTCCTCCTCTTCCTTCTCTTGCCACGGCTGCCTAATTTCTGTTTGTCTTTGCCTTTTGGCTTCATTTCTCTTCCTCTCCAAATAATTACCTTTCTTAACTTTGCCGTGCATATGAAAGCTCACCATTCCAGAGCGGCAGCCTCAGACCTGTTCATGTGTCCCTGCAGTCTGGAACCTGCCACCAAACTCTGCGATTTCTGAGACCCCTTTCCAGATTCCGGGGAGAGAAGGCGTGTGACAGGCCAGCCCGGGTCAGGCCCACCCCTGGTCCTGTAACTCGGCACAGGAGAGTGGGGTCACTTTGTTGCTACCCTACCTGTGGATGGGTGGGGCTGACATCAGACGCAGGGATAACGTGGACCGGACAGACATCTCCCCATAGTGCTTAGCACGTGTACCTTTTCTTCCCTTCCTCCTCCCTCCTGATGCAACAGATCTATGGCTGAACACCTGCTTTTTTCTTTTATTTCTTTTCTTTTCTTTTTTAGACAGAGTCTTGTTCTGTCACCCAGTCTGGAGTGCAGTGCAGTGGCACAATCTCGGCTCACTGCAACCTCCGCCTCCCGGGTTCAGGCGATTCTCGTACCTCAGCCTCCCAAGTAGCTGGGATTACAGGCACTGGCCACCACGCCTGGCTAATTTTTGTAGTTTTAGTGGAGATGGGGTTTCACCATGTTGACCAGGCTGGTCTTGAACTCCTGACCTCAAGTGATCTGCCCGCCTTGGCCTCCCAAAGTGCTGGGATTACAGGTGTGAGCCACCGCACCCAGCCATCTTGCCAAACACCTTTGAAAGCTACATTTTGACTTAAGGAATTTCATGATCCAAGGGCATAAAGTGTATAAAGTGAATAATTGGGTTTTGACGGCAATGATCATCTTCCAGGTGTCCAGTAGGTACATTTAGGTCTGGATGTAGGAAATGCCTGTTGTGGACATACCTGAAGTTGAATATAGATGCATGTCTCACCCCTCGTGACTCAAAGTGCGGCCCGTGGCCCGGCAGCATCAACATCATGTGGGCGCTGGTGAGCAAGGCGGAGTCTCCAGCTCCCCAAACCTGCTGAGCCAGGCTCTTAACACCCTCAGGCGGCTCCAGTGCACACTGAGTCCAGAAGGGCTGCGCTAGGTAGAAGTGTGGTTTTGTTTGTTTTGTTTTTGAGGATCATGCGTGTCAAATTCTTTCCTACGCAAGAATGAGATTGGAAAAGAGTCATGACTACCTCGGTCTCTATTTTATAAACTTTCAACATTTTTTAAAGCTTCTTAACTCTTGTAATAACACTTAAGCACAAAAGAAAATATTGCAATCAAGAGATGTGGGAAATGTGAGCTGCAGGAGGCTGTGACTGGGGTAATGTGGTGTCACTGTCTTACCAGAAACATCTCGTTATAAGTAGGACTACGCGCCAAAATAATGAGAAAAAGGGTAGTATTGTAAATACATAAACCAGTAACTTAGTTGTTTATTATCATCGTCAAGTATTATGTGTTGTACATAATTGCATGTGCTAGAAGTTTTTTATGCAACTGGCAGCACAGTCTGTTTACGGCGGCGTCCCCACAGACATGTGAGTGAACATGTGGCTCCATGGCCCTAGGATGGTTGCGGTTGTCACTAGGCGACAGGAATTGTCCAGCTCCATTATACTCTTATGGGACCACCATCCTATATGCAGTCCATTGTTGACTGCAGTACTGTTATGTGGCACACAACTGAGCATTTATGGGTCTTTATGTATCATCACAAGCTCTTACACTGAATATAAAACTATCTCTTTCTATTTTCCTGCCTTAATTTTTACTTTCTCTGATTAATGTATTTCTCTGACATTATTTTACGTGTACACAAATGCACACACACACACCTTAGCTACCAAAACATAAATGTAACTCTGCCGATCCAAACTCAGCAGAAAATCAAAGCACCGTAGTGACTGAATGAGAACAAGGAAACTTTTCTCCCACTCAGTATTTCAATAAAAGTAGCATCTTATCTATTCAGTATGCTCTTCTTTTTCCTTATTTTTTGGCTATTGGGTTTATGCTAATTCATTAAGGTCTGAAGAATGTACTTTATTTGAATTATTATTCCACGGATAGCAGGTGTTTTTTTTTTTTTTTTTTTCCTTTTAGACAGGGTCTCGCTCTGTTGCCCAGACTGGAGTGCAGTGGTGTGGTCTTGGCTCACTGCAGCCTCCACCTCCCAGGTTCAAGTGATTCTCATGCCTCAGCCTCCCAAGTAGCTGAGATTACGGCGTGTGCCACCACACCCGGCTAATTTTTGTGTTTTTGGTAGAGACGGGGTTTCACTATGTTGGCCAGACTGGTCTCAAACTCCTGACCTCAAGTGATCTGCTGGCCTCAGCCTCCCAAAGTTCTAGGATTACAGGTGTGAGCCACCTGGCCTAGGTTTCATTTTATTTTACCTACAAGTGTGAGCCACCTGGCCTAGGTTTTGTTTTATTTTCTAGGTTTGTCTTCAGACTGCCTTTGGGGTGGGCCTCCTTATGGGTTAATTGCAGAGGGTGCTGATATTAGTGCAAGAAGGGCTGGGTGCAGTGGCTCATGCCTGTAATTCCAGCACTTTGGGAGGCTGAAGCGGGAGGAGGAAGCCAGGAGTTTGAAACCAGCCTCGGCAACAAAGCAGGACCCTAACTCTACCAGAACAACAACAAAAAAATTTAGCCCAGTGTGTTGGTGCTTGCCCATAGTCACAGCTATCAGGAGGCTGAGGTGGAAGGATCACTTTAGCCTGGGAGTTGGAGGATGCAGTGAGCCGTGATCACATCCCTGCATTCCAGCCTGGTGACAAAGTGAGATCCTCTATCAAAAAGAAAAAAAAAAAAAAAAAAAAAAAAGGTGTAAGGACACAGGAGCTCAGTTTTCACATTGTTTTTTAGCTTAAGGATTCCAAAGTGATTCATTGCTAATCTCTAATGGGCAGAGAAACACACAAACAAAATAAAACATTCACTGAGTCCAGGTTCCTTTTCCTGGTGAGGTCTGTCTCTTAGGGGAGGAGGGCGATAGATTTTCTTACAGTGTGTCCTTGCCTGCAGACAACAACTCTGGAACAAGCTATTAAAAGTGCCCATGAGTGTTATGACGATGAGATTCAGCTTTATAACGAGCAGATTGAGACCTTGCGCAAGGAGATTGAGGAGACAGAGCGGGTCCTGGAGAAGTCTTCTTACGACTGCCGGCAGCTGGCGGTCGCCCAGCAAACCCTGAAGAATGAGCTGGACCGGTATCATCGTATCATCGAGATTGAAGGCAACAGGTGAGAGTGTGCCCTCCCCATCCGGGCCACTTATTCCTTGCACAACTCTTTGTTGAGTGTCTATTATGTGCCAGGCACAGTTCTAGGAAAGTGGGCATGTGGCAGGGAAGGAAACACAATTCCTGACCCCATGGGTGCTGGAAAACTAATAGGGGAGACAGAGGATGAAGGTACCGCCAGTGCCGAGGAGGAAGCTCTAGCAGGGAGGAGGGCGGTGGCGATGGGGGTGATGGGAGAATGCTTGCAATTTTAAGTAGGGTGGTCAGAAAAGGCCTCACTGAGAAGCCAGCGTTTTGCTCATAGGCCTCTGGAGACATAAATGTCCCAGCAGGTGGGATGCCCAGGAGTACTTAATGAGGTGCTGCAGGTGAGCTACCTGGCACAGAGCCTGGCACTCGAGGGCACTCAGAGGTGTTGGTGGTGCTCCTGCTGCCATTCTCATGATTCTTAGCACCTTACTGGGTCAGTCTGTGGCTGTCACTATGTGGCTGTCTGGTCTCCTCCATAATGGAGCTGTGACTCGATCCCTACTCACTTTAAGACAGCTGGGAAGTTCTCTCTTTCTCTCCAGCTATGTCCATGTTCGTAGCTACAGTGATTTTCCCGGAGAACAGGCTGGGAATTAATTTGTGATTCTTCACTCCAGTCTTGCTAAATTCCTGGGTTTCGATTGAATGAAAAGAGAAGCCCTCCACAACTGAGGTCCCCACCAGGAGCAGCTCCTCCCTTCGCCCTGGGGGCTCTGTCTTGGCTGTGCACAGACAAATGCCTGGCAGGAGAAGCAGGATTTTATTTTTCTTTCTCCGGTGCTGCTCAGTGTATCTGGCATGATTCCACATGATATTTATGTCACAGTGAACACTTTATGCACACATCTGCAAGAATAAGTCTGGAATTGGCATTTTAATGACTTTGTAAACATTTTTGTTTTGGGACAGGGCTTCACAGAAAGCTGACTGGATACCTCTTTTATTTATCTATAAGTTCTGATTTTGGTCTAATTTTAAACTGATAGAAATGTTACAAGAATAGAACAAGGAACTCCTGAATACTCCAGATTCACCAGTTGTTTATATTTTATTTCAATTGCTGTTATCATTTTTCTCTATTTATATATGATATGTGTGTGTGTGTGTGTGTGTGTGTTTGTGTGTGTATACATATATCTTAAATTGGAGACATCATACCCTGTTTGCCCTAAATACTTCAGCCTGAGTTGGCCACTCTTAATTTAAAAAATCAAAAAGGCAAATCAAAAGGCAAAAAACCAAAAAGGCAAAAACACCAAAAAGGCACTGTCTCATGGAGAAGTGGCGTTTTTAGGTTATAAGCAATCCCTACTTTATACTTTTTTATAGGTATGTTTCACAGTTTATGACTCTTGAGCTCAAAGAAATGATTATTTCCTTTATGTCCTCATCCAGTGTGTAAATGTGTGTATGGCTGTCTGTTTAAAACGGTATCTAATTTGTGAGCAATTTGGTCTAGAGAAAGCTTTTTTTTTCCATTTTTGCTCAACATTAGCGAGAGTCACTCTTGCCCCTGACCATCTGTTTGGCTTGTTTTTTCTGATTCTTTCTGACAGGCTGAGCTCTGCCTTCATTGAAACTCCCATTCCCCTGTTCACCCAGAGCCATGGGGTCTCTCTCAGCACTGGATCCGGTGGGAAAGGTAACGCTCCCCAACCCTGGGCCTCTGTTTTTTTCTGTCTTGAAAACAATCAAGCAGCTCTCTTCCTGCCTTTAACATTCACGCTTGCTTCAGATCCATCTGGAAATTAAATGCTTTTATGTGAGGGAGGACTCCTTCCCACCCTCTGCGCTCTATGGCTTGCTAAGTGATTGAGCTGAGAAGTTCATAAGGAGAAAAATCGACTGAGGGGCTAGGCTACCTTGGGCATGCCATCCCTAACGTGAGGCATTTATTTTGTGTTTTCATATTTGTTTTATGGTTTGACAGCAATAATTTTTGCAACACAAAGCATTTAATTGGGCAAAAAGTACAACTCAATATTCACTCCTTGCTCCCTCCCCTCGGCAGTAAGTGAACACCGGATCGTATCCCACCGCCTCCCCACATTGAATCAACGGGTTTGTGCCAAAGCGTGTAACGTGGTGTCCAGTGCACAGTAGCTGCTCAGTCATAGCTCATTCTCCCCTCCCTCAAACCAGGCAGAAACAGCTTGGCTGGTAAATGTGGCATCTGCCTTCAACATTTGGTCTATGAGACCTCACCTCACATTGAAATCTCCTAGTTCTGAACAAGCCCAGCATTTGGGAAGAAAAGAGAAGGTGATACTATGGATGCTCATGCATATAGGGCCTTGAAATCCTTATTTCCAGATAGCTCAGAGGCCTTTATGGAAGTGGCATTCCAGAGTCAACGTGGTTGGAAGGGGAGTGGCCCTGCAGCCGGATGCCCAGGGCCAGGTCTGCAGGTGCACAGCCCTGCCTGGGGCTTGCTCTCAGAAGGGTCCCAGCTTGGCTGAATGCTCTGCTAATGCTGTTCTGAAATTCTTAATAATTTGGATTAAGGGGTCTTGTGAGTTTTTTTGGCACCAGGCCCTGAGATTCTGTGCACTCCTGTAAGCACCTCCTCCTTGCATACCAGCTCCCAGCAGTTTTCCTGTGCCCTGTCCCTCTCTGCATCCCCTGCACCTGTGGCTTTGTGACCCACATCTGCTGTTGCCGGCTCACCTGGCTCGCTCTCTGTTGTGAATCAGCCATGCTCGATGTCGGTGCTTGGTCTGGCTTGCCCTGTGGTTAGCAGTGGGAAGGGATGCAGAGGATGACTTTTGGGCTAAAAAAGTTCAAAATTCACTGTGTGGGTGGAGCCGGGAAGCCTCATAAATTATACCAGGTGAGAGTTTTGTGTGTCTTCTCCAACTTTTAGTTTTTCCTTTCAGCTAGTCTGGAAGCAGGAGGGTGGACTTGGGGCAGGGGATTCCTGTCATTTCTGAATTTCATAGCATCGCTTCCTCTCTTGGCCTGGGAGGAAGGGGAGGCTGATCGCAGCTGGGTGGCATTTATTTAGCTTGAGCTAAATATGGAATGAGGTAGATCCACTGCGTACGGGTTCCATTCCCAGACCCAAGGCCATCTGAGCATGTCAGAAGCCCCCAGGTAGCTCTGTCGTCTCTCTTTTGAGGAAGTCAGAGGAGATAATAACTTTGAGGAATGGGCTTCCATGGATCCAAGTGTCTGCTGCGAACTCAGTGGGGCTGCAGTGGGAACAGGGGCTAGGGCTCCCACTAAGTGTCAGGACAATGGCCTTGAGTGCCTTGGTAGGTTTTGCCTGATGTGGTGGTGAACTGTGGGTGTCAGAACAGGGAGCACCTTCCCTCTGAAAGCCCAAAGGCATCCAGTGACTTGTCCAGAGTCGCCCAGCTGTACCTCAGCCTGGGCCATGGAGCAGCAAAGCCAAGGCCTTTCTTCCATTGCTTCTGCTCCAGATGAAGGAAGCCCCACCCTAGTACAAAAAGCATTTGTTTCCAAGAGAGTTAGCCTGTTTTCCAACCAGCATGTTTTCTTTCCCTCTCAATAACAATTATACTTGAATTTCTGCCTGTGTGTTTCTCCAGATCTTACCAGGGCTCTGCAGGATATAACAGCAGCAAAACCAAGACAAAAAGGCCTCCCCAAGAATGTTCCAAGGAGAAAGGAGATTATAGCAAAAGACAAAACCAACGGAGCTCTGGAAGATGCACCATTAAAAGGTTTGGAAGACACAAAGCTGGTACAGGTGGTACTTAAAGAGGAAAGTGAATCTAAGTTTGAATCAGAAAGTAAAGAAGTAAGTCCCCTGACACAAGAAGGGGCTCCAGAGGATGTGCCAGACGGAGGGCAGATAAGCAAAAGCTTTGGGAAAGTATACAGGATGGTCAAGGAGAAAGTGAGAAGCCCCAAAGAGCCTGAGACCCCCACTGAGCTCTACACCAAAGAGCGGCACGTGGTGGTCACAGGGGATGCCAATTACGTGGACCCTAGGTTCTGTGTCTACCCCGTCACAGCCAAAGGTGGGGTGGCTGTTTCCATCGCGGAAGACTCTGTGCTTTATGATGGCCAGTTGGAGCCCTCTCCTGAGTCACCTAAGCCCCCTTTAGAGAATGGGCACGTGGGTCTGCAGGAGAAAGAAGATGGACAGCCAATTGACCAGCAGCCTACAGACAAGGAGATTGAGCCAGATGGCAAAGAGCTGGAAGTCCCTGAGGAGAAACGTGAGGGTGAGGAGCAGGACGAGGGGACTGGGAGACCCTGTCCCGTGGTCACACCCGGTGCAGAGGAACCATCTATACCCCAGCCTCCAAAGCCTGTGGCTGATCAGGACGGAGCCGAGGGGCTTGGGACTAGGGGCAGAAGCCTGCCAGAAAAAGGCCCTCCCAGGGCTTTGGCCTATAAGACAGTAGAAGTGGTGGAATCTATAGAGAAGATTTCCACAGAGAGCATTCAGACATATGAAGAAACTGCTGTGATCGTGGAGACCATGATTGGAAAGACAAAGTCAGACAAGAAGAAATCAGGAGAGAAGAGCTCTTAAAATGCCCAGGCTTAATGGGAGAAAATGTCTTTGGGGCCACTGTAGGGGTAATGCTTTGATATTTTAGAGCAAATGATAAAAGGGTGAGGGTTCCTGTTTGGATTAGACCATAGGTGACCCATCTGGCATTGCCAATGAAACCTTCATTAAAATGTTTTCTTTGCTTGCACATCCTTTGTCTAATTAATAGGGACCTTGGGAATGTAGGTGGGTCAGCTTCATGAGGACAAGGATGCTCTGTTGAATGGCCACCACACCATCCTCATTTAGGAGAGAGACATGCTCTTCATCCTGGTTCATAAGTCTCATTAGAGACTCAGATAGCATCTGAGTCTGGATGCTGGATTTTCTGGATTTCACACAGAAACATGCTGGTTGATGACATCGACTCATCTTCATTCCACTTCAAGCACAAATGCATGCTTATGTGGATGAGTGTTTTCCTAGAGATGAAATTATTAAAGGCATCTCTGTTAGCGTGGATTCCCCCAGAAGCTGATCCCAAAGCGGAGAATGTGAAGTTTCATTGGAATATGAATTTAGGATGCACAAATAGGACAGTGGAGAAGGCAGGGAAGAGAAGTGAACCAATAAGGTGCACGTTACCAAATCAGCTTACACCAGGGGCCACTGAGGAGCTCTGGGAGACAGCGTAGATCACGTGCCTCAGAGTCAGCCTCCCTGAGGGGTGAGGGAGCTGGGGTATTAATACACCAGCTCCTGGCAGTCAGTGGGAGGTGTGCTCTCTGGGGGCCAAGAAAGCTGTCAGGCAAAGACGTCTAGGTGCTGGCATTAGGAAGTCAGGTCTGGAAATACATGGAAGTACTAAGGGTCGAGGGGTCATGGGCAGGGTACCAATGTCATCTGCCACCATATGTGTACCAAATGTACTTGGTATGAGATACTTAAAATTTTCTCACTCAGAGATTATAATCCCAGGTCAGGTTTCAAGAAGCAAAGTCAAGTGTCACTGTGTAAGTTCCTTGTTTAGAAATGAGTTAATTAGTCCAGCAAGCATTTATTGAACATGTACTATGTGCCTGACAGTCTGCTGTGCCATTAAGGGGTGATTTTTCAGACTTATCAGTGCTCTCAGTTAACATAATATAGCAGTGGCCATGTGAGTGTGCATGTTCTTGCGTGTGCACAAACACACACGCACACAGGTACTTACTGTGTCACATACTAAAACACAGAAATTACTCAAAACCAGAATCTTTACACAAATTTCTATGTTGCCCTCCGGTATCTATCTTTCTACTCACAGTCCAAAAATACGCCAATTTAAAAAATTCTCCTCCCTGTGTAGCTTCTCCAAAGTACATTAAATGAACTGAGTAAATGTGTTTAAATGGGTTGTAGTATCGGCCTACAAAAAGCATCTGGTAAGACAACTACACATTATTAGAGGAAATTGACAGAGTCACAAATTACATTCTGTTATTTCTTGTTTACAAATAATTGAATACTAAATGGAGTCACCTTTCCTTTCTATTTAAAACTTTAAACAGTCTTGTTCCGAATTCATTTGAGGTTTGGATTTCAAGAAAGAATTAGGCTTTTGTTGTTTTTTCTAAAAGATGAATGGGAAACCCATGCCACTGAGTTTTGAAATATTTATAACTTAAAAGCTTAAGGGAGCATGATGGAAACCATTAGCTGGAGCCCAGGATGTACTGGGCTTTGGGCCTGTGTGTCTATTGTCCTTAGCTTTAACAGTCACTGCAGAGCCTTTCTTTTCCTCCTTGGGTCTTTTTATTTTCTGAACTATGTGTTCAGTTCATATTATTTTAAAAGGCAGGGGGTATTGCTTTGGAAAGAAAGGTCATTTTTATATTATATTCAATCAGTCAAGAAAAATGGATTGGGATCTGTTCTGTGCCAGGCATAGTCCTGGTCACTGCAAGACAACAAGGAAGGGTGGGACGTGGTCCTGCTCTCACAGATGTGATATTCTAGTGGGGGAGGAAGGAAACGCCATGCAAGCAGGTAGCGAAGAGAAAGTCAGAGACTGTACCATGAAGGGACTCAACTAGTGTGACCTGCTAGAATGACTGGGGGTCTAGTTTGGATTGGGTGGTAAGAGAAGTCCCTGTGAAGGGGTGACGTGGGACCTGAATGACAACACGGGGCATCACATACAGAGCGGAGAGTAGAGCATTTCAGGCAGAGAGAGCTGCAAGTGTAAAGGCCCTGGGGCAGGAGTGAACTTGGCCTATTCAAGGAGATGCAAAGGGCACTGCAGGAGGACAATGGAAGGAGGTGAGGTGAGGGTGGGAGGCAGGGACCAGGTAAGCACCATTTCCTGGCAGATGCACCTCGGCCTGAAGGTTGAGCCCATGCTGTGAAATGTGGGGCTGGCTGCAGTGCACACTTTGGGGCCTACTCGGGCTCTGGAGGTGCAAGGGTCCCAGGGATGTGACTCACTTGCTCATTTTCTTGACACTCTACTGTCCCAGTCTGGTTCTGTTTTCTCCTGTAGAGCTGCAGAATGGGTTCATTTCTGGGCTTTCTCTCTCTCCAGGGTCTCTGAAACACGCACGAAATCTTTGGCTTCATAAAGAATTTCTTGTTAGTAACGTGGAGTCAGAGCAGGCCGCCTGACAGCATCCATGGCAGGGTCTCCATCTCCTCTTCCCTGAGGCAGCTTCGGGTCTGTTGGGAGCAAGACTCTCCCAGAGCTGCCTGCTCCGTGCAGCAGCTGCGTGGTAGCCCCTGTCCCACTCATCTTCCCAGCACTTGAGTCAGGGACCCATCATTGCTGTTGTATCCGCCACCCGGGGTGTCTCGCCAGATCCCCCAACTCTCCCTGTTCCGGTTCGTGATTGCACTGAAGCTTCTCACGGCAGGCACATGTGACTCTGCCTTAGAGTTTCATGTGGCCACAGGCACATGCGTGGTCCATACACTGGGCGGATTGGTTGTCCTGGGGAGTTCATGCTCCCGGGAGCAGCCCTCAGTCAAGGGTGGACAGGACCTGGAGGAGCAGGTCTCTCTCTCCCCAGCCCTCTCACTCCGCTGTTAGGGTAACTTTTAGGCATATTCTACGTAGTCTCTTGGAGCTCCCAAGTGGGTTTGAGCCTCAGATGCATATGAAGAAATGCACTTATCAGTGCCTCCGGTATTGGCCTCCTCCTTTTCCTGTCTCACTTTCCTTCTCCTCAATATATAGATGCTTCCTTTCACGTAAATGACTTGCCCTTCACTTCTTGTCTCAGGGTTGTCTTCTGGGAGGACCCAACTTAAGACAGCAGGTTAACATCTGCCACTCCCACCTCCCCGTCCCTCAGGCCACAGCCCTGATTTTGTATTGAGTAGCCGCTCCTCCCACACTGGATACAGCCCTAATGTATCAAGATATTCTGCCTTCCTCTGGCCTCAGGGTGGGCCAGTGACCCAGACCAGCCCAATCAGATTCACCCTCAATGAAATTAGAAATCTGAGTTCAGTGTAGCTCAGGCTGCACCCCTGGCGGGGGTGTTCTGGCAAGGTCACCTGCCAATCCTTGCTGTGTTTCTGGGTCCCCAGCCTTGCTCCAATCACTGTCTTTTTTTTTCTGGGATGGTGTTGGCTGGTTCTTCAGGCCCGAGGGCTACGCCACATGTTTTTGACATACTGCCTACTTGTTTCCACTAGTTAGAGTTGGTTTTCTTTGCTTGTAACCCCAAAGATCCCAAAGATAACGGCTAATTAATAAGGTTTGGTATCAACAGATAAGGAGGTTTGGATTAAGTTGGGTTGCCCCCAAAGCAGACCCTGAGAAAGGCCTTGGGTGCAGGCGGTTGGTTAGGGTGGTGTTGAAGGAAGGGTAGTAAGCTCCTGTCTCTTGCTTCAAACCTGCCCCTCTCTACCCAGTGGTGCTGGGGCTGGGACTCTGCAGCCAGGTCCCGCTTAGTCAGCTGCTCCCTGGGAGGTGCTGTTAGAGGGGAGCTGCGCGAAGAGTGAAAGTCTTGAGGAAGGAAAAGGCACTCACTCCCTTTTGTTTGCTTTCTGCTCTTGTCCACACCACCCCAGCAATCCTTCTATGGTCTGAATGTTTACGTCCCCTGCAAATTCATATGTTGAAGCCCTTACCCCAAGGTGAAGGTTTTAGGAAGTGGGGCCTTTGGGAGACTAGGTCACAGGGCACAGCCCTCGTGAACCAGATTAGTGCCCTTATGAAAGAGACCCCAGAGACCCCCTCATCCCTTCTAGCATGTGAGTTCGGAGTGAGGAGGTGCCATATATGAACGAGGAAGTGGGCCTTTGCCAGACACTGAACTTGTTGACACCTTGATCTTGGATCTCCCAGCCTCCAGAGCAGTGAGAAATAAATTTGTGTTGTTTATAAGGTACCCAGTATATGACATTCTGTTACAGCAGCCCAAACGGACTGAGACAGCTTCTTCACCCTGGTAGTGGCAGTTCCTTCCTGTAGCAGCAGCTGAATCCAGTTCTGCAGTTTCCCAGCATTTGCAGGACCAGCCTCACCGCAGTCTCTGCAGAGATACCTGCACTAGCCTGCTGATGCCCCTCCTTGGTGTGGCTCCCAGCACACGCCCACCTCTGAGACTTTCAAGTTGTATGAATTCCAACCTCTCCCCTTAGGTGGTAGCTAGCTGCTTCTTGAAGTTCTGCTGACAAGAAGAGACCCACTAGGCACTTGTATTCCATAACCAGCCCCACACCACCTGCTGGGCTTCTCCCTAAGGCCCGTAAGCGTTGGTTTTACGAGAAAATATCTGCATGGCTTTCCGTGAGAGAGTGCCGGCGGTCCCGAGGGAAACCTTGGTGTGAACCAGCTGCTGGGTGGTTTCTCTAGTCTTTTGCCCTCATGCACCTGTACCCAGGTCAGATGACCGATTTGTATATCGGGACCACTACAGACCTCCACCTGAGTTTCCTCTGGCTTCAGTCTGCCAGGTCCAACTCACCATCTTTCAGGTCCTAACATGTGCCCTTGTGCTCCACCTCCAGGCACTGTGGGTGGGTGAGGCAGGCTGGGGTGCCACGGATGCTTTAGGATCCTGCCTGGGCCAGGAGGGCATCTGCATTGTGTGAGCCCCCAGCTCCCACAAATGTTGGACTTTTTGGTCCATGTGATACTTGTGTTTGCTTTTTGAATTGACTAGGTAACAATTCATTATACTGATTGTATGGTGCTTTGTATTAAATTCTCTCTGTTAAAAC